GGCAGAAAACGGAATTCGGAGCACGGCGAATGTGTGGAGCCGGTTTTCGGCGGAAAACGAGCGAATTTGGAGGCTCAGGCACCACTTTTGACGTCTGACACGAAAAAACGAACTTTTCGGAGTTGGCCGTTTTGAGCGCTTTTTGCACCAAAAACGGAGCGGTGACGAAGCGGTGACATCGCTGGTGACGAGTTCAGCTGGTTGAAAATTATGCAGTTTTGGCGGGTTTTTTGGCCAAAAAACGAAAATTAATTGGTCCCTATAAGCTGCCTTTCCTTACTACTCCTGTCCGCGTTTTGCTACGGGGTATTCCACGGTTTCCTGACGCACCTGCCACTCGGGAGGGTTTCCAAGACAAGGTCAAAGCGGAGTCAGTTTGTGCTACCTTGATGGCAAGGCTGTTTTTCCGGTTGCACGCATACCTGCTGACGCCCTGCCTTTTACCACTGCTCAGTTCAGGTCCAGCTACCTGTGTGCACTAGCAATGCTGGGACCAGCAATGAATCCCAGCATAAGAATTTTGCACGCGCCCTACAGCAGAGGCTGGCTGGCCAGTATCCCTGCATCAAGTCACGTAGACGTTGCAGTACATTGAAGAGGCTGCAGGCTGGACTTTTCCTATAAGGAGGTACGCGAGCATGGCCGCTGCACGAATTTGAGGTGGCTTCATGACTTCCCGACATGATGGACAGCGAATCGGTCAACAGAAAGGTGCCTGGAACACGTGGGATGCTAATGAAAACGCGTCATGGCGTAAGTACTATGACTGGGTGGCAAAATGGTGTGTCGATCATGCTCACGGATGATGTGGGCACACAGCAGATCGCAGAGGTGGACGCCTCACCCACACCAGTGCGCCACGTTCAGGTTGTCAGCTCCTGTTCCTGGAGCTCTTCAAATGTGGCACCGCCCGGACTGCAGGTGGACGATGACACCATGCTTACTTCGCTGATTGAGACCGATGAGAGTCTGACCGGTGATGCCTTAGCGCAAGTTTCAATATCAATGACAGGCTAGTTGGGCTGATTACTGTCTGCGAATGAATGGAGCCGCCAAGCTACTTCATGTACAGGGACGATGGAGGACGTTTGCCTGTGCTGAGTATGGTCCAAGCTCGGTCCTGCCAGCCTTTGAGTGTGCTGGCCAAGGACTCTCTTGGCTTTGGTTGACTTGGTGGAGCGCAACAATACACCAGTCGGGGTGCAATGGATGGTCTCTGGGACGCGGTCATGTGTGTATGTGCTTTTCAGTTGGTGTTGAATTCATTGGACTTTTCGATGGTGCTCCCGCCTCTTTGCGCTGATTTTCGGGCTTGGTTGCTTTTCTCTGGTTTGCCCAACTGGGCCTTTATTGTCACACTTTCCGGGTGGGCTGCTTGTCCGCACAATACCGAGACCTTGTTCACCTTTTGGCACCGTTTATGGGGTAGTGGGCGCATCGCCTTTGGGCCGCCAATTGCAGCGATGGGGGTGATGGTCGTTTGCAGTGAGTGCTGACTTTTGGCTGACCCAGGGGTGTGACAATCTTCCTTCTTTCAGTCTATTATTTGATTACGCTCAAAGTTCTGCACTTCTTGGATGCTCCAGATGATGTACTCATGGGGATTGCCCGTGCATGGTTTCTCCTGACTGGTCTGTCAGCGCATGCTTTGGAGCGCGCTCTGCCCTGCGTATGTCTATTATCTGTCCATGACTTGCCGCGTGCATGTCTTGGTCGCATCTACGAACAAATTTTCTTTTTCCATGGTCGGCTATGCTGTTCATGGAATCTGCCGTGGGGTACGGCAACGTGTACTGCTCCCTTGGGATGCACTGTCCTTTCGAATTTCGGCTACACGATTACTCTACGTTTTCATAATTCGCGGCTTGCGGTACTCCCCCTCGTTGCATGATCTGTACAGGTTTCACTGTTCTGCTCGTCTTGATTTCGATCTTGGGCACGTTTTGAGGAGGCACACGCACCTCTCGCTATGCCCCTGCCTGATCTGTTTTGCTGCTGTTTCATCGTTTTCACACGGAGTTGCTTAATGCAGACGCGCTCGACGCGGATCGCTGCTAAGGGGCAAAAAACCTACAGCCGGCGGTCTTCAAGGGTATGCCATTGAAGGTTTGGCGCGCTCAAGCTGTGCACAAGCACCTTCGAGTATCGCCCGCAATTTTGGCACCACAAGAGAAATGGCGGGGTACATAGCCGAGGCACGTGGTTCGGGATTTGCAAAACCCTTGGGTGCACGTATGGTAAATCAGGTCCTATCTGGCCAAAAGAATGCCCAAGTCATGCAAAAGTCTGATGCAGTGACCATACAAGTGTATTCCTTCAAGGATCATTTCGCGGTGCAAAAGCTATGTACAAGCACCATCATCATGGTTGCGAGCAATTTCTTTACGGCCACCTGGGGGCACTATCTGTGCCATTATGGTCGGTCAAGTGATTGCACTGCAAATCATCTGGCACAAAGAGCAAGGTTTACAAACCACGTTACGAGCATGTCCTTGAGTGCTCGGACAAAAGTTCATTTCCAAGTTCAAGTACCTGTCTGTTTTGTATCTATTAATGCTGCCATTTTTCCAGCAATGCAAGAGAGATAAAATTGAGAATCCACAAGTAAAATGCGGATGCACTTGCCAAGGCAAATGGTCCGGGATTTGGGAAATACCCGGACACAACACAGTACTGACAACTCCGACCCAATCAGGCGAAGAAATAAATCTGGGCCGAGAGGAGGATGCCATGCTTTTGCCCTTAAGGTGGCTCGAAGGAGTGCCGGCACGGTGCAGAAAGCTCTGAACAAGCACCGTCCACTGATTGGACGAAATCCCTCTTTGCGAAAGCAGGCAGTTGTTTACGGTCCCACGCAGGCGCTATCTGCGCCGCCTAAACCGTTCGAAAGGCTGCTCTACAAGTTCCTCATGTGTCATTTGAACGTGGCATGTGAGCGGATTCTCGCGTGTTCCTGAAGTTGTGCTCAAGTTTGAATTCACTCCCAAGTTCAAAGCCATTTTTGATGCAATGTAGAGTCTCTGATGCAAAGGTTAAAATTGGCCTGCGGACAAATCCCTTTTGTGGTTTCTTTGAGCCAAATTTCATGAAAACACTTTACATCTGCCTTTTGTTCCCAAGGCACGATGCTCCCGGTTACAAGCTTCTGCAATTGTCTGAGAGCCATGTCAAACGCAGTAGCACGTTTCGGCCATGGGTATGGCAGTAGGGCAGCTGCAGGATTTTGCGGACTTGTGAATGGTGTATGGTCCCTTACCCTCATGTGGGACAACAGCAGGTTGCTCCATTCCCGAGCAAACGAGCCAATTTACCAGAAGTTCAAGTATTGTAATGCCGGGGTCACTGGGATGCTTTCCGGTCGGCCATTGAAGGGTTTTCAGCCACTTGCACAGGGATCGTGCGAACCCCACGCACAGTAGGCAAGATCTTCGTCTGGCACATCAAACGCGAAGCTTCGTACAGATGGTGGCATTCAACTAAGCAACTTCTGTGTGTGGTCTTGGTTCGGTTCTAGACCTGCTTCTTCGTCAGCTTTAGCCTGGCACTTCTGCAAGTATGTGATGGTGACTTTGGCTGTGTAGCCAAGCACTTCTTCGAGTTTGATTTTTCCAACCTTGTTGGCGGTAATTTTTTTTCGTGCAGCTTCTGTCAAATCACTGGGAGTTGCCCGTAAAGCAGCCTTGGCGGCTTCGTCTGCAATCTGATTACCTAGCTGCAGGAAACCTGTCCAGTCAGCACACCCAAGTGGGTCAATGTGCGCTTTTGTACCTTGACAACGCTTTGGCCTGGACATTGCACAACTGCCAAGAGACGTTTCACAAGGTCGGCATTGCTGCTGTTGCTAAGAAGCACATGGCACAATTTAAGTCTTGTGCTTTCCCAAATTTTAATAACGCTCTCGCAGTCAGTGTACACGGTAGCGCCCGGGTAGGCCTCTAGTGCAGTTACAACCGCTTCTAGTTCAGCCCGAGGGACTGATTGTTCACTGCTGCATTGCGCGGTTGCAACAATTTGGAAGCAATCTGGAATACGTCGCGTTGCACGCATCTGGGAAATGCTCGGTGCATTGTTGAAAGTGGCGCGCTCGCAGCTTCAATTTTCAAGTTCAAAGTAGTACGCGAAGTACATTCCGCGTGGCAACTTGGTGAGAGCTGCAGCATGGGAACCCTGTTGTCGGAACGATGTGGTCTCTTCCATGGCACGCCTTCAAACGGAATTGTTTTTCTTGTTGCTTTTGGCGCTGCCGCCGTGCTAAACGGTGTGGTTTCAAGGTTTTTTTTTGTGGCTAACTGTGTCAAAATGGGAAAAATGTGATGAGCTCCATTCTTCGAGGTTGGTGGTGTCAAAACAGTAAAAAGGTGTAATGTTGAGGTCCATTTTTGGGGGCTGATGGTGTCAAACCATGGACAAGCGTAGAACTCCAAAGGGCCAATCCCAAACGCCAAGAAAACAGTAAGCTGAGTGTCCGTTGCCTGGCGATATTTGCCTTCCAGATCAAACCGTCCCTGTCAACACAATTTGGTAAGCGCTGGCTTAACACGAAAAACCAACCGGAAACCACGCGTTTCGGGCAGCAATGAATTGGACGAAGCTAGCTACGAAACCTGAGCTGCGAAGCGCGGCAGAAAGCTGCGAAGGCTTTGGGGGAAACATCCTTTGAAACCTTAGTTTGGCACAAAACCCTATGACATGCATTGCGCAAGCCCGTGTCTTTGGCAAAGTTCGCAAGACTTGACTGCCATGGTGCATGGCCAGCTGGGGCATTTGCAGCCGGGAGCCTTGGTTGTTTGTGGCAGATCCCTCTTTCTCCTCTTGGTGGTTTTAAGCAACACTTTTTGGACTTCCAACAGAGCTTCCTTCAAGTGCGCTCTTGTGAAAGACCCTGGCATTATTCTTCTCAATCTGTAGCCAACGTGAGGGGGCCGCACATTGCCCACATCATTTGCAGCAGAAGTCTCCGATGGAGACAGACGCCTCGGCGCACGTCCGCCCTGTTCGAGGTGTGGCCTGGGGGCACGGCTGCGGGACATCAAGGTTGGTAGGGTGGAGGTCTCGGACTGTGCTCTGCCCAGGTTTCGACATTTGGCGTGTCTGGGGGTTGACTCTTTGGTGAACGAGTTGATTCAAGCTCATTGATCGGATTTTGGAAAGCAGTCTATTTTTTTTTGTTAGTGGGGGTTGTTGTTTTTCACCCACGAGGATTGAAAGAATCTTAGATCATTGTTGAACAAATTTTGCGTCAGGTCTCAGAGCTGAGGGACGCTCTCTTCCAGGCACCCGCGGGGCTCCCTTCGGCTTGCGTCCGACAGTTTGGGGCTTGTGCAAGGATGCCTCGCCGTCATCTTCTTCCTTCACTGCGACCTGGCTTTCGAAGAAGTCCTCACCATTCGTCTTTTTTGTGTTTAAAGGGAACCCAAAGACCGAAACCATTTTGGAGGGGCCCCGCGTTTTTGTGACTTGACAGCGGCTCTTGTGTGGGTGTCTGAGTGTATGGGTTCTTGTTTTCGCACAATATGTTGCAGCGTCTCTCTTTTGACCTCACTCGAATCTCTGGATTGCGCGGATCGGCGAACAGAGGCCATCAAAATGAAGCGGAGGGGCAGAACGTCGGATGGCTGGAAACTTGGAAGAGCTGATTTCAGAGTGACAATCGCTTGGGGCATGGGTCGTTTCTCAAAATGGATGTCGGACCCCCTTTTGAAAGTTTTTGAAGATGTCCATGCCCCAGAGCCAAGTTAGCTAGAGCTGAACATGTCCTGGCTTGGTGTCAAACTGGTGGATTGTTTCTTTCAGTTTAGGAGGTGGGTAAATGGCGCTCATGGAAGGGATGGGGCTTACTCCCCATTGGCAGCGTTGCTTTGCACACCACTCTAGGGGTACCTTCCCCATTCTTTCCCGGGATCCTTCTTTTCAGGAAACCATCACACATCCAGGGGAAACTGCCGGTTTTCGAAAAGAACGATGGTTGAAAAGAATGGGGAATCAACCCCTAGAACCACTTGGATGTAGCTGCAGCACGTCTTAAGCGCACGCCATGTTGATGTGCTGGTACCGAAGGCCACTCCTGTGACTGCACCGTGCGCCGCTCAGTGTGAAAGGCCATGGGGTTCTCCGGATGGAGGCGGTCGGCCTTAGTGATGGAAGCTGCCGGGGTGTTTTGGAGAGCTTTCTTTCCCTTAAACAGATTCTCATGTCCTTGCTACGGTCAGAAGGTTTTGGGCGCTTTCGAAAAACTCGAGGCGCTTGGTTTCCAGTGGCCGACTCGCGTTTACGCCGGTCGAAGATGTTTCAGGACAAGCCCAAGAAGAAGGAGATGGAGGCCGGATGGGGTGCAAAGGAAGTTGATCTCTCTTTTTGGGAGGGGGGGCCTAGGAAAACCCCACACTTCTTAACCACAATTCCCATCCAGGTTTCCTTTGGTCTCAGGTGGGGCCCATTCCGGTAATGCACATTGACCACAACTCTTCCCCTTTTTTTGGGGGGAGGCGGGGGTTGCGGGGTCCAATAGAAAAACCACACACACACACACGCACACGCGCACACGCACACACGCGCACACGCACACACACACGCACACACGCACACACGCACACACGCACACACGCACACACGCACACACGCACACACGCACACACGCACACACGCACACACGCACACACGCACACACGCACACACACACACA